GTCTATTTAATTTGTTCATGTAACTTTTTGCAGGACACTTGTTGTCACTTCATCATTAATATATTTACTTTTGTAGTACCTTTGACATATGTTTTACTTAGACACTGCTTGGTTTCGTCTCTAACATCTAATTGTGTTCTTTCAATTGTGCATATTTGCAATTGAATTTTTGTACTATTTTCATCAATCTCTCTGTATATTGTGTCCTCGTGCTGACTCTGTAATTGGCTACCAGCTGTTGAGTACAGCACGTAAATAAAACCAAGAATTGAATTGAATTGAATTGAATTATTATTATTATTAGAGGGGGTGGGTTTCCCCATGCACTTAGACCAGTTATTGGTCCATTGTGCGTCCCACTTTAATTTCTACTGTCGCCATACCCTACCGGTACTGGTGTGTGCTATCAGCCCCGTTCAGCCAACGAGGTCGGCCCTCGGTACCTGATAGTTTCCCCATCTAACAGAGGCATTGGGAACTACTTGGGCGGGAAACTTGTTGCCTAATTTTGCTCAGAGGTCTCCTAGAGACATGAGGATCTTTAACGTGCCGTAAATCTACGACACGGGACCCACGGCTTAAAGTCCCTCTCGGAGGACTTGTTCCCTGAATTTTTCCGCCCTTAAAAATTCCACGACCTCCGCCGGGTTTGAACCCGCGTACCTTGAGTCATGAGGTGGGAACGTTACCTCTAGAAGTAGATCCTATTTATACACAAATGGACACAGAGACCAAGGAAGATCTTGGAAAAGATGGAATTAGTATGTGAAGTCAAAATGGTAGAATAATTGATGAACTGGAAAGGATTTGGAAGGAAGCGATCATCCCTGCAATTGCGTGGAAGAATTAAGAAAATCCACAAAAATATCTGTCAGAATAGCTTGTGTCTGTTGTGTAGCTAACAGCATCTAGACTACACATCGGATTATAGGATGAGGATTTGGAAGGAAGCGGTCGTGGCCTATTAGAGGTACTATCCCTGTAGGAGGGGCTGACCACACTCGAGATAGCCTGCGTCCCGGACGAAATTCGAACCGAGCACTTCAGTTTACAAATCTAGGACATTAACGCTACGGCCTCACCCCTTGTTATTCATTGCGCTGTATAGAATACTGCATTGTTCGCAGATCGCCATGTTCCCGCTGCTGGACAAGCTGCGTTTCCTGTACCCCGCGTACGTACTAGCCATCGTGTCGCTGGGGTACCTGCTGGCCGAGCTGGGGCACTTCATGATCGGCGTGACGAGCAAGGCCACTGCCCAGGATCTGCACTACGGCGACATCAGCTGCCAGCTTAACATGTCGGATGTTCTCATCGCCGACCTTCCAGAGGTCTGCGAGAACGCCACCACACCGGATGCGTGAGTACTTCTCGCTCCACTGAGAACCCGAGGTTCGGAATATCCGCCTCGACTTTGGTTCCTCAGTTCCTCCATGCAAATGCAGGGATAATGTCTCTACTAGGACATGACCGTTCCCTTCCAGATCCTCTATCATCCTGCCGTTCTGTGCTGTGGAGTTTACTTACTGAAGGCGTCATTAGGTTACATTTAACTCTTTAAAGCACAGTGAATACCACGGTGGCCGGCCGTGTGGTCTGATGCATGAACTGTCTTCGCCCGCTCCAACACTGAGATCATGGGCTCGAATCCCACTGAAGACATGCATATTTGCCTGCTTTTATTCTGTGTTTGTGTTGTCCTGTGTACGTAGCTTTGCGACGGGCTAATCCCCCGTCAATGGAGTCCTACCTTCCGTTTATAGGATAAAGAAAGTGAAGATAAATGAAGCGTTTCTTTGATGCGCTATGATCCAAAGTGGGAGTAACAGGAGAAACACAAGGAGAAAGGGTTACTATACGTACCACAACCACCTGCTTTAATATTAAAAGACTTTTCAGTTTGTCCCATACATTATATTTATGTGTTTTGTTGGATTCACAGGATACACAGCGAATGTTATCCTAAAAATAATTCAATGTTTGTCTTTATAATAGAGATCTAGTAGGCTTTCTGTGAGGTCAGAAATTGCTTTTTAAAAATATTATTTAGATGACTTTCAGGTCTCAAACATATATCTGATGTTAGTTGCGTGGAATGTATCTTATTCCTTACAAGATTATTTTTCCTGGGAGTCAACTCAGGCACGTGGAGGCATTTAAAACAAATCCAAGGTTGCCACTTATTTACGAATACCGCCACATATATATATATATATATATGTATATATATATATAGAATATGAGTAAAAATTCTATTTTATACACATCACACTTCTTGACACATATTGCAGGATAGTATGCAGGCTGAGTGAAAAGCCCTGCGTCACATATTGAAAAAAGCTTAGGCAACCAGCTAGTACGCGCCATCTCTTAAATGTTAAATAGCATAGGCTAATGATTTATACTGTATTACCAAATTGAAGTCCTTCAGCCTTCATGCGTTTCCTGAATCACAGAAAGCCAAAGAGTTCTTCTGTTTAGTGTTGCAACATTGGTACTGGCAGATTCTGATGTTATCTTACCACGGTTTGTCGTGCTGTTGAGATAAACTAAGAATTTCAGTTGTCTCAGAAGAAAAACATACAAGATGTATGAGGTCCGGTGATCTGGCTGGCCACTCCACTGGCTCTCTCTTCTCTATCCGCTCGTATCGCAATGTCTCGATTACAAATAGGCGCACAACAATCGCAAATTTATCTGCAATAGCATGAAAAAAAAAACTCGGCGGTTTTAGTCCGCAAGCGAACTATACCGACAGAGCGACGGCCGCTTGTCGGCGAAGTTAGTGTCAAATCTAGCTGATAGAGGGTGTCACGTGGTCAGCGCAACGAATCCCCACGGCCGTTAATTTCGGTTTTCTAGACCGGAGCAGTTGTTTCCTTGAAATAGCTCCTCAATTATCTTCACGAGTCTGAGTGGACAACGTTCCAGACCCACTACTTCTTAGAAAATCTTTTAACGCCCGAGAACCGAACCCGAACCTCTGGATCTGTAGCCAAAGACTCTGACTACTAGACCATAGAGGCGGTCAGTGCAAGAGCATTTTGGGGAAAAAAATTCAGGCCTCCAATATGAACTCTGTTTAGTCATGAATTTTGTTGAGATCACTCCGTTTCCTTATTTCACCGGCAAGGAAATGAGAAGCCTCGATGATGCAGGACTTTTGATCCATCCTGTATATGTATATCTCATGCGTCTACATTCCTTATTCATTAGATTCAGTGTAAATATCCTTCCATGATGAACATGGTGCAATTTGCTTGCAATTTGAAGTGCAAGTGCTATGGCCAAGGGTGTGACAATGCATACAGATAAGAATCACACGTCAGTGTTACTGCAGCTGTTACGGCTCGAGTACTATGTGAAGGCACAAATGGGTGGAAGGAGGGGAAGTGAAGGGGAACAGGTCAGAGGATTGAGTAAGGCCATTACGAGCCACTCAAACGCAGAGCAAAACCTCTCCAACGAATTGAACTATCTACCCCTCATATTTGCTGTAAGATAATATGGATCCGTTAGGTCCGCCCATACATGAAAATTATTTTCTGCGCATGTGCCGTCACATTGTAGTCAAGCTCTAGTTGTTTCAAATCTCGACTCCGTAAGTAGTACCAACCACACATGAAAGGAATTAAGGTTTGATGGCTCAGTCAGTATAGAGGCTGGGCTACAGATGAGTGAGCAGGGAACCTGGAACAAATTCTAAAGGGAAGACAGATTTTAGTGTTCTCCATACTATCAAAGTGTGGAAAGGACATACCATGTTAACAATATTGGTTCTCATCCGAACGTGAAAGTTAAGCAATCTGGTGCGTAGTTGCTACAAGTCGGAAGGTCGTGGGTTCAATTCCCGATGAAGTCATTGGATTTTTTCATTTGACCTAATCCTTCCAGCCGCACTAGGCCCTGGGGTTTACTCAGCCTCTAATAGAAATGAGTACCAGGAATTAATTAAATAATTTTCCTGGGGAGTAAAGCGCGGCCGGCGCGTAAGCCTGACAACCTTACCGCCATCTTTGAGCCGATTGTCTAGATAGTATGGGACCCTCAACGTCTCACAATCCTATGGGCCTTCACGGCCTGGTACAGGGATAGCTTTACTTTTTACTTTTTTACTCATTATCATGCTCAGTTCACAACTCATTCAGAACTACACAATACAGAAGCCTACAAGAGAGAGTGAGAGGATGGGCTTTGCAGGGGGAGGGGGAATACCAAGCCAAGGAATTGGTACATCAGTTTCTTGTATAGATGTTAACCAGTTAATTAGGACCTGAGTAGTTCTCACTAGTCTGAATGCTCAGAGAAAATATTTATTAATTCACATAGAACATAAATTTTGTGAGCTTCTGCAAGAAAGAGAAGGAAAAAATAGTAGAGTAGTATGGAAAGAAGGAAAGTTGTGAGAGACGTGAGAGGCACTTTATTTCAGTGGTGAGAGAGAGCAATGTTTTTAGAGTTGTTATAAATAGTGGCCTTTGAATTTTGGTTTTCTGATCAATTGTGAATTGTATAACATGGAAAGGTAAATTTGTAGCCTCCACATCAAAGATTTAAATTTTACAAATTTAAGCCAGGGGGGCTGCATGAGAAACATGTACAGCTGTAGTACAGCAACTTGGAACTTGGGAACTTTCTGGGAATTTGCTTGAAGACAGGGGGAAGCCAAGAGTTCCTCTATCCAGATGGTCAGAGGAAGGACCTTCCAATATACTGTTCTAGCCAGAAGTCAGCAAGCTCCCAGAGGTTTCCCAAATACCTGTGCTATTATTTAGTTTGTGTAATATTTCAAGATTCAGTTCATGCCTCATAGAAAACAAGTGAGTCTTCATTAAGACCAATCAGTTAATGTTATTTAAAGAAATGATCGCTGTATATTCTGAGAATCATATGGAACACAAATACAAAGTGTAGAGAAAATATAGAATTTTTAAGTGCCACAGCACTGCACAGTATAAACCATATTTTGAGAGGGTTAACCAAAATGATAAGAGATTTTGAAGATAGCCATGGAAGTATGTGGTGGTTGATTTGAGCTGTTGTGTGTGACTGCCACAGGTGTGCGCTGCTGGAGTTGAATGGCACCAGCTACTGTGAGTGGACTTATAATGGTCTTGGGCTTGACTACCAGATCCTGGCAGGCCCAAACTTCATTGCTGTGTATACAGTTGTGGGTGTCATTTTGGGCATAGTGGCTGATAGGTTCAACAGGTAATTTGAATGCAAAAACATGAGACAGACTGCTCCTTGGTATTGGAGCATGCATTTCCCAAATGTTCTGCTTTCTGCATCTCATAAATATTCCAATATATTGCATATTGTTCATAAATCAACAATTTCAAACAAGGCCACTGTGTGAATCCAATAGATTTACTGAACTAAGGAAATCTATTTATTTTTTTTTTATTGCTAGTGAGGTGGGACTAAGTCCCTTGTACTGCGGCCACTTCTGGCCTATTGTACCATACCCAGATGATAGGTGAGGGTGATTGTGGAGCAATTAGTGGAATGAAGATTGGCAGGGGAAACCGAAGTACTCGGAGAAAACCTGCCCCAGCGCCACTTTCTTCACCACAAATCCCACTTGACCAGACCAGGGATCGAACCCAGGACGCCGCAGTGGGAAGCCAGAAATTACCGCTTGAGCTATGGCGCGGCCAAGGACCTCTATTTAAGTTACAGCAAGTTCTTCCCAACAACAACAATGACAAAATGAAAAAAATATTTTAAAGAAAATAACAGTAATCTGCAAAATGAAGAGTACAGTTCTCTGCGATGTCATGTCATGTAGTCCATTTGGAGTTCAGTGGAACATATTGCCTCCATCTTCATGGTCAGAAAGTAAGCCAAACAAGTAACAAACAAAAAGAGGCTGCAAGATTAGCATGTTGGTTTCTTGCTTGGGTTACTCTTTGAGCCAGAAGATGAGGGCAGTACAGTCCCCTGGAATGTCAACAAACCTCTACCAGACTACACAGCTTACATCACAGAAGACAGTACCCTACATAATCACCCCAAACCCAACAGCCTGTGATATATTTACAATTTTGAAGGATATAAAATTTCTGGTCAAACAAGTTTCAAACCTGTGACCCTCTCTTCATGAACTCAGTAGCTCACTGATTAGTGGTATTCCATTCAACCGATGGATTATGAACCTACATTACCGCAGTATCACATTAACTCCTCAGTAAAAACTTGGCTTTACCAATTGTAACCATATTTATACATGTAAATGTTTCACTTACAATTTGTAGCTCTTAATTAGCTGTACTTGTATGTTTTTAGGTTCCCATGTCTCGTGACTAATGCAGCCGTAACTCTGTGTCTTATTTGTAGGGTACGTGTGTTGGCTGTTTGCACTTTGGTCCTCAGTGTTGCCATCCTGCTCATGGGCTCAGTCAAGGAGTTCTGGCATCTTGTGCTCCTGCGGATGGTACTTGCTGCTGGGTAAGTTATCCACTGAACAAAGGAAATTTCGAAGTAACCCACAGTTCCTTTCCCTTCTGCCTCCATTTTCTATCATCCACAAGCGTTTCCATCTTCGGCAGTTCAGTCACTGCACCCCTGCTTTTCTCTTACTCATTACTTGCTTAGCACACCTGCCCTGAAGCTCCAGGCACTACAGCCCTCCAAAATGTTGGGGAACACACGTAAAGACATCCCTTGTCTAGTATAGATCTTTAGAAAACGGTCTTGCCAGTATGTACAGTATCCAGTATTCCGGCACAGCTCCTCGATGCAATTTGAATCCTCATTCCACATCTTCGTTCTGTTACTCACATGAGTAAATTTGAATTCCTTAATTTCACTGTTGTTGCTTTTTTAAAATTTAGCTGCTATTCATTGTGATATTAACAGAAAATAATCATACCCTTGACTGAGAGTGGGTTATATTATGGAAAGTGTAAGACAACAATGTTGTGTCTAAGCACCAGGCCGTGAAGGCCTGAGGGAATAGCGTCACGTATTCTAGGCTTTGTCGTTAGATGGAGGTGAGTGGTCAGGTTCATTTCTTGCAGTTTAACCCCAAATATTCAACAGAGAGAAATGGAAGAAGGGGTGGAAACAGGGAGAGAAAAGAGTGACCTTTTGAAAGAATGTTTTCCAAGGGCAGAGTGAATGGAAGAAGAGAGTAAATCTCCTGGTGGTCTTGGAGTGTATGTGGCCCTAGGGCAGTAGGAACTAGACTACATGGCATCACATCTTGGAGACTGCAGTCCTTTTGTTAAGTGATTTTACAGAACACCTCCCTCTCACCCAGAATTAAGTTCTGGACATAATAATGGCTTGTCATGCTTACAGGGAAGCAGGGTGCAACCCCATGTCAACTGGAATCCTATCAGACATATTTAGTGAAGACAAGCGAGGTCTTGTCATGTCCATCTTCAACTGGGGCATCTATGGTGGGTACGGCATTGCCTTCCCTGTTGGCAGATATGTCCCAGCGATGAACACGTGGGATCTGGTAAGTGATGAGAGGCAAGCCCCTTCAAAAGCAGTGTGTCAAACTTGGGTTTCAGTTTGTTGCAATTGTGAGAATGAAGAGTTCTCTTTTCTGGGAGGTAACAATGTGTAGTCTCGTAGAATTTTACCAATACTTAAGAAGAATTTCTGTGAACTTCTGTCAGAGTACAAATTGTTATATCCACATTTTTTTTTATCTATTTTAATGATTATAAACTGTACATATATATTTATATTTGTATTGTACTATATTCATTATGTGACTGGTTCTATATCTATGTATATGGATTTATGGAATAAATGAATGAATGAATGAATGAAAAAGAACATAGTACTCTTCAGTACTTTTTAGCTCTGCTAGAGGGCTTGAAGCCAAAGATTTGTCTTTTACAGTGCTAGCGACTCTGTAATTTTGTAGGAAAATGTTAAACAGTATTTAGGCCAATGGTACTCAACATAAATTGAGCAAAGACCAACAATGGATGTTTAATGACCTAGGCACAGCCATGACTTATACCTGTATGTACACAAATTTCAGTTGTAGAATGCAACAGAAACTACGAAGATAAAAATAAACAAAACTTGAGATATGTTTGTATTTCATAAATATAACTACATTCTATGGCCATGCCATAGCTCAGGCACTTAGACGCTAGCTTCTCATAGAGCCTTGGATTCCATCCCAGGTGAATACACATGAAAAATGTGATGGATCAAGTAGCACTCAGTCAGTATTTCCCTGTGTTTCTTTGGGTTTCCCCTGCTAACCATCATTCCTCCATTGTTCTATCACAGTCACTTGAGGTGTGTGACAGCCCTGACAAAATGGCATGTTATCCTGTTCTTGGTTGTTGAGGTGAGGGTCTTCATCTCTGACCCAGCTGCTGGCTGGTTAGAGTTGCACAACAAAACCCTCTTGCTGAAAGTAACTAATTAACGCATTATTTACTATGAGATTTGAATTAATTATGAAGATTACTGTCTTCTGGAATGAGACTTATTATGTACAGTAGATATTGTTATGGAGAAATATGTTTCCTCTATGTTCAGAGTAGGAAAGTATGCTAGTGTGTTACTTGTGGCTGCAGGGTTGGCGTCTCTGCTACTATGGAGCTGGCATTGTTGGCCTCATCATCACATTACTGACAGCCTTCACTTTGCGGGAGCCTGCACGACAGACCATTGGAGAAGAAAGTGGTACAAATGCAAATGATTCTGTTGTGGAAGCAGAAGAGGATAATACACCCAAGTCTGGCCAGTGGAAAGTGATGTTTCAACCGCGGGTAGTTATGTTATGCATTGCAGCCTCCATTCGACATACAGGTAAGCATTATGGCTCTAAAATTTTGGCAGGTGAGTCACAGCTTTTATTAAAATGTTATCACCCTGACGATTTGGTGTCAAGTCTATCAGGTCAAAGGGCCAACTGATTATTTTCTTTACTATGTTTATACTTGAAAGAAAAGATCCAGTTTAAAGTACAAATGAACCCATTCAGTGATGATTTCTTTTAATTAATTCAGAAGGAAGAAATGTTCTAACTGAACCCAACCTAACTTAAATATAACCTAAGTTAACCTGAAATAACCTCACATATCAAACAACAGAAAATTGTCTGTAGCATAGAAAGGAGTAATAATTATATTGGTGATTCTATCCTGATTATGGAGGCAGGAGTTTCCTCTGAAATGGTGGTACTCATCTACCAAACTACATGGCGTCACATCACAGAATACATTGATTTTACAACAATATAACTGCGTACATTATATATATGAGTCATAATATTATGTTATAGCATCCAGCTGCACTCTATTTAGTATCAAATGATTTCACAGTAAGTACTCCCACAAAGGACATTTTACGTTGAAACAAAAGACTAGGCTCTCATTTGTGATCTGTTCCATAACTTATATATTTTACTTGTTTAGATACCTGAACATTTGTTGACATAAACTCAGGGATAACTATTGACAGAAACCTGTGCGAACTATAGTTAGAGATGGAAATTTTCAAAATTTCTCATTGAATTTTCAAGGGCATTTCCCTGATGCTCGATAAACAATAGAATGGAAAATAAATAACACCTGCAGCCAGGGGTTAACAGATGTTGTCTCAGTCTGACAAAATTCTATGTACCAACATTTCTTCACAAGAGAAACCATGCCTACCCACTCCACTGTGATTTGCTTCATACTAGCCTACCTACCGTCACATAATATATAAGACATAGGTCCTCTTCTTGAAAAATCGGCCATTTCCAAAAAAAAAATAATAATAATAATAAATCCGATATTTTGTGTTCGTTTTACTCTGGAGGAACAGATTCATAAACTAGAATGGTTGTTCTGCTGCAGTTTTGGTCACTGTCATCTTCAATAGTAGTCAGAATATTTTTTCCTCACTTGACGTTCTTTTCAGAATTCTAGTTCTGGGACGTCCCATAGGTCTGCATCCTATAAATCATAAGTCTAATGTCCTCAGTAGCCTTACTCCATTCAATCTTGTTATGTGGCCAGACAATTGTAGCAGTTTCTCTTCTGACTCTGTTAACAGATTTGGAATTCCAACTCCATATCAAGAAATTTATATAGTGTCACTTATTTCTCAGCATCTTTGGAGATAACAAAAAGGGAGTGGAAGAAATCTGAAGATGATTCTACTCAATGGCCTTCATTTTTCACTTCCACAGAAGAGGAGGCAGACTGATTTGTTACATTCATTTCTTCTGACCTCAGACACAGTATGACTAATCATGTTATATGAGATGCGGAGACACCCAGTGTAATGCCCCAGCGGCGCAGGGGGGGCATGGAGGTATCCCTCCCGCTGCTGCTGCTGCTGCTGCTGCCGCCGCTGTAATGCCGTGGTACAGGGGGGCGTGGAGTCAGCCCGCCTCTGTCCCCCTGTAACTCCGCATGTAGGGGCCGTGGAGGTATCCTTCCTTGCCTCCACTGGTTCTGCTGTAAACTGGTACTCCTGGTAACGTCGCGCCGTCGGGGGTGGGCAGGTACCCCTCCTGGCCACCTCCGCTTATGCTGTAAGGCGTGAACGCAATCATCCTAGCTCACCCTTAGCTAGGATTCTCCTATATCGGAGTTTCCTTCTGTCATACAAGCTGCCACCATCTATTCTCTGTTCTTTCAATTGTTGGTACTACTCCCTGGCATATAGTCTTAGCTCCTTCTTGACCACTCCGCATATGGTTTACAGGTAGCCGCGTAATCCATTAATATTACACTTTATCTTCGGATCTTGGGAGGGCGTTACTATCAAGGCTCCCTTACTCTGCCTGTGTGGCAGGAGCCTATCCCTGNTCTCCAGTGGCCTAGTTAGCGGAGCGTCTTGCATACGGTATTACGCATGAATGCTGATTATCGCATTCTTAACCTCATTGCGTGTCCATGTGTTGTCATCTTTGCTCTTTCACTGCAAAATACTTTTCGCAAGTCCCCAGGCACCTAGGTAATGACTTAAATTTTCAATCCCAAATTTGATCCTCAACACCCAGTCCAGTAGAAGTTCACTGACATTTTAAAGGAACATACTGCCTCCATCTTCATGGTTGAAGAGTAAGTCAAGCAAACAGTGAGCTTGTGGGCCAGAAAAGTCCCCTGGAATATATGTGAATTTATTCCAGACTAAACAGCATGACACCCCAGTAGAGTATACTCCTGGTTGTCTGGTATTCAAGCACTTGGGATTCTCATGTAACTGACAACAATTTTGGAGGGTTTCTTTTTCTTTTCATCTTTATAAAGTAACTTCAAAAGCACATACATTCATCTGCTACATTGTAGTTCTTCCAGCTGCCACTAGCAGCACTGCCAATTATCTTCTTCAGTCATCTCTTACACATGTGCTTTCATAGTAAAAACTAGAAGAATTTGTGATCTTGTTACACTGTATGTATCTGAAATATTTTGTTGAGCAATCCACTGTATCATCTAAGAAGATTTCCACCCAGAAAGTGAAAAGTCTCTGGTTTTACTTTGGAACAGAAAATTGTCTGCTACATTGTAATGTATTGGGTTTCTGTAAGAGTTTTTCTCATTCAACTGGCAGATTCATGTAACCAGCGCACCCAATCACACATATAGGCCAGATAACCGGAGCTAACTGTACTCTTCATGGGTACATTATGACTTCTCACAGTTCTGTCTTATCTCTTCAGGGGGTCTCTGCTTTGCATACAACTGCGATCTGTATTACCAGACCTACTTTCCAGACTATGATCTTGGATGGTGGCTTTTTGCTGTCACCATAATTGTTGGCAGTATTGGTGTTGTGTTTGGCGGTGTAGTATCTGACAAGTTTGTCGCCAAGATGGGCATCCGGTCCCGAGTGGCTGTCCTTGCCATAAGTCAGGTGAGCAGACATTTTGGATTTTCAGTATTTGGATTTAGAGGGCGTGCGAGTGTTGCTTATTCAGAGCCACAAAAATGAAATAACAGAGGAACATGCAGCAATTAAATGAATAAAATATTTAAATTTAGGTACATTAATGTGGATTGCTCTACTTTCTTCTGGTAAAAGAGAAAGTTTTTTCTTATACTTAATTGAGAACCACATCTTGAAGATGTATGGGGAAGTAAAAGTTTAGCTCCATGTGTTCATAACCTCGGCACAAGATTGATGTGATTGGTCCGATTTGGATCCCAGTCACTTTCCCCATGGAGAAAAATGTTTTTGTTGGTCACAGAATAGTATGTTGTTGAGATGAGAGAAAGCTTTTTCCCCTGCTGGAAATTGATCCTCGATTCCTATGTTGTCTAGCCTGTAGCATAATTTCTATGGTGACTGACATATCCTGGCTCTTGCTTTTGAGGTTATAGCCAACAAATTTAACATATATAGAATCTGTAGTGAAGTAATAAGTTATTCATAAAAATAAAAAAAAAATCAATGGAAGGACCTATTATAAGATTGACCTTGAGTGCATTACCTTGGAAGTTAATTTAATTGCTGCTGGGTAGGCCACTCTCGGTTGCTGAATAGTGAACCATGATAAAATCTGTCCAGCCATCAAAGCAAGTTCCAACACAATCAACTTCGCATTTGGGCCCCTACTGTGTGTACCATAATGTTCCTGATGACACCACCTACTGGGTTCTGTTTACAGGAGCGGTCTATATAAGCTGGAACTAAATCAGAATCCTTGCAGCTGTCTTTGACAGAATTACCATTTTACATTCTGGGGCCCAGCTGCAGGGTCATTATTTTTCAAATTGGGATGTTCATATTCACCGGACACCAACCTATGATTGATAAACTTTTGAATACCAAATAAGAATAGTATTTGCCTAACTGTTCAGACGCCACTGAGGCACACATGCATCCATATATACATAGACAGATACATATATACTCTGGCATGTCTCCTAAAAGCCAGAATCGTGAAGTCAGCAGAGACAGAGTTTGTTATGTTGACTTTATGAATCATGCTCAGAACTAACAAATTCCATGCAACTGAGCCCGTCTTGAGAAGCCACAAGTTGTGCAGCTCCTCAAGAACTTCCCAATCCGAAGATTCATTGCCATGTTCACAAGAACCCTCCACTGGTTCCTATTCTGAGCCAGATCAGTGCAGTCCATACCACGCCATCCTGTCTCCCTTAAATATATTTTAATATTATACATTCACTAATGTCTTGGTCTTCCTAATGGTCTCTTTCCTTCTGGCTTTCTCACCAAAGTCTTATATGCATTCCTGTCTTCCCTGATGCGTGTTTCATGCCCCACCCATCTCATCCTCCTTGATTTCATCATTCTGATTATAAGTTATGAAGCTCCTCATTATGCAGTTTTCTCCAACCTCCCGTCACTTCATTCCCTTCAGTCCAAATATTCTCCTCAACACCCTGTCCTCAAATACCCTCAGTCTATGTTCCTCCCTTAATGTCAGAGACCAAGTTTCCCCATACAGAACCACAGGCAAAATTATAGTTTTGTATATTCTAATTTGTATGTTTTTAAACAGAAGACAGGAAGAGAAAAGTTTGTGGACTGAATGGCAGCAAGCATTACCCACGTTCAGTCCCCTCTTATTTCCCTCCTGAATCATATTTTGATTTGTTACGCTTGTTCCAAAGTGTTGGAACTGTGCCAGATTTTCAAAGGATCTGTTAGTTGTCTTTATGTCATGATTTTGCCCTGCTTTCTGGTGACGAGACATCAAGCACTGAACTCCTTTTTAATATATATGCCTTCGAGATTAGAATTGAAATGATACTTTTAATGGCTAATCAGTTAGTAATGATAACCAGCAATAATTTGATGAAGTGTTTTGCTTGCAGCTGATTGCGACGCCATTTGCGTACGGGAGCGTCTACTTTGACCCACTGTGGGCTCTCATCACCCTTGCCATCTCATATTTCTTTGGTAAGTACACACTCGCTGTTGCACGTGTTGTAATGAGATTCCTGCATATTACAAAGTGAGGTGGACAGGAACGGTTACCAAAGCCGGAAGGTCGCGGGTTCAAGTCCCGATGAGGTCATTGGATTTTTTCAATTGACCTAATCCTTCCAGCCGTACTGGGCCCTGGGGTTTACTCAGCCTCTAACAGAAGTGAGTACCAGGAATTAATTAAATGATTTTCCTGGGGAGTGAAGCGCGGCCGGCACGTAAGGCTGACAACCTTACCGCCCTCTCTGAACCAATTGTCAAGGTAATGTTGGACCCTTAACATCTCACAACCCTATGGGCCTTCACGGCCTGTTACGGGGATAGCTTTACTTTTTTACTTTTTTTTTACCATCTTCAGAGTAGAAGAGACGGAGGCAAGAGTTTCATCCAAAACACTGGTTTCTGTATAGCAATATACATGAAGTCACATCCACAAAAGACTGTAATTTTAATATTCCCTGTTCTTATAACCTCAAATACCATACTTAATTAAATAGCCCTATATCTATTGCCAAATATCACAAATGTCAAGATGGTAGAAACAGAACTGACCCAACCAGGGGTGCAATACCTACATTTGTACAGGGTATCAGAGTTCCAGGAGTAGCAAAAATTATTTCGAAGAATAATTTTTGTCACTTAAACATGTCAAAATCAAAGTCTTGCCTAGTAATCGATAGTTTACTGCATTCATTATTTGAGGATACATACAAACATATGAAGCTTTTGTAATTTACTGGCCATTTTGACTGTCTGATGTGGACAACATATAGATTATGATGGCCATTTCGGCAACAGAAATTAAACATGAAATCTTATGTAACAACATTCATGCTGGATCTGAGATTGTCAGAGCAGTGATTATGAGGAGTACTGTGTTCTGGGATATGACTCCATGTACTCTGGTAGAAGTTCACTGACTTTTTGTAGGAATGCACTGCCACCATCTTGAGAGTCAAATGTGTTCTGTGAAACAGTGGTAATCAGAGTACATGGCATCACATCCCCGAATACAGACACTGCATAGTCAACATGGTGAGATCCTCACATCTCCCTGTCAATTTTATTTGATGAGTCAGCATCGGTTTCCCTCTGATTCAGCTGAGATGTGGTTCGGCATCGTGTTTGCCATCCTGGTGGAGATTGTGCCGCTGTCTGTGCGGTCGACAACAGTTGGGGTTTTCTTGTTTGTGATGAATAACGTTGGGGGCAATTTACCCATTCTGGTTGACCCTGTATCCAAGGCTTTAGGCTATCGAGAGGCTCTATACATCTTTTATGGAGGCACCTACCTCATCAGTAAGTAGCACATTTTTTACACTATCCTTTCAAAACAGACAATGAATGTTAAATTATGAATTAATTAGGATTTTCTTCCAAAGGTCTTTAAAATAATATCAGAGCTCAGGCGGCTAGTCAGTGATTTCTAATTGCAGTAGGCTTGGGTTTAGTTGCTGGTTAATCAGTGGACTGGGGAAAGTGTTTCCCTAAGCATTTGAGTTTTCTCCTGCCAATTACCATTCTCTTACTGCTCCACACTCAGTGATCATTTGGAGCTGGTACAGTGGGCCCATTTCAGGCCACAGAGTCTCAGTCACATGCCATTGCTGCAGCTAACCAAACAGTTTTATTTGACTTTGTTGTGGTGAACTTGAAATAACATTGATGATAAAGTATTTGCTTTACATGTCTTTTATTCGCCAAATGATGGTTATCAGCTGTAGCAGATTCCATGTAAGAAGGCATGACAGCATTCTACCTAGGGGCCTAGCAGAGTTCTTCATATCCTCTCTATCTGAAGATGGAAATAGAACTCATTTCAGAAACACTGTCATCCATACCCGCATATAAAATTATGAAGATGATGGACTACGTACAAATAAATATCCTTGAATGATGTGCCACCTCCTCCCCAAATGCCTTTAAAACTAAATCAAACACTATGTTCCATCTAGTGCAGCAACCTTTTCATTGCTAAACACTCATGAAGCACAGCATATCTCCACTATATATGGTCATCTTCAGGGGCATCCAATTATAAAACAGAGATTTACATAAATTAATTAAAACTTCTACAAATTATTTCATGTAAACCTAGTATTTTATGTATAGTTCTGTTTTAAATAATTCATCTAAATTTTAATTAATTCATTTCAAGCTTCCTTTAACAATTGAATGCTGCACAAATGGCCATGCATGCCTGAAACTTGTTGGGCTTCATGGGTATTTACTGATTAATGACTGGATGCGGTAGATGATACTTCTGTATTCAATTTAATATGAACAATGCATTGGTAATAATGACTTCTGTTAATTTTTATATTTAGTCCCCTGGTAATGCTTGGTATGAGAGTGGATGGATCACAGCATCGTAATTATTAATTCATTTACTTGCTCATAATTTATTTAACGATGGTGTCAGTAGCTCAGAATATATGATGATTAGTGAATAAGTAATTTGAAAATGCTTCGAAGGAAACTGTTGTGGCATCATTCAAGTTATTATCACTGATACTGCCAGGAGAGACTGGGAAAAGCCACTAAAATATTCAGCCATTTGAACTGGGCATCTCTCAAGTACAAGTCAGAAGCATTACTGCATGAGCCAAAATGGCTGTCACAACATGCTGTCTGGTACACAGGCACACATGTAGCTCCATGTGGACTGCTGGTGTCCATCCTGAGCCAGATAAATTTAGTCCACACCCTCCTATCTGCACCTCTGCCATCCAGTTGGTTTCTTTCCTTCAGGTTTTCCTAATGAAACCTATCACACACTTCTTTGCTCTCCTGCGTCTTCTACTTGTCTTGCATAGCCCATCCTTCTTGATTCAGTTATCCTTATAATATTTGCAAGGAGTACAAATTATGAAGTTCTTCATTATGCAACAATTTGCAGACTCCTATTTCACTCAGCACCATGTTCCCAAATACCCTCAGCCTGTGTTTTTCCTTAATTGATGAGACAAAGTTTCACACCTATACAAAACCATATACAGTACATGTGCGCATATGTGCATGCCAAGGATTTCTGCATGCTGGAAGCTCTTCATCTGTAGTAATAAATTTGCTAAGCAGACTCCATGAGATGTGTTCTTATAAATGATGTACACTTGCAGGCTCTGTTATGTTCCTTCTGACCATGTTCCTGATGGGTGGACCACAGTCACAACAGAAGCAGGACAAGCCCGAGGACATGGGCCATGAAAATGCAGGCTTCACTTTGGAGAAGATTTCAGAAATTAACGGGACAGCGAATAGACAGGCTGTAGAGAGCAGCAGACTATGAGAGGACATGAGACTGAACATATGCATGAGTCAGTGTAGAGCTGTATGACTTGGTATCATGGCAACAGATTTATGTTGCAATGTCTACATCATTTTCATGTGACAGTCAGTGGTATTACTGTATTTGACCCTTGTTGAAAGGAGGTACCTATAGACAATTATTATGCTTACTCTATTAGGCTGTTTTGCCAGAACTTTCCAAGTTCATAGCAAGCTTATTGAGTGAAATCGTTATTTTGAAGTTATTTTGAAGGACTCTGATGTGTGAAGTGTATCAGTGCAAGGGTTATCCATGGGAACTGTAACTAGAAATGAGAATTGTTATGCTTTCCCATTGAAATTTCGATGGGCAGTGGGCTAGATGCAAAAATGTAGAAGATTTAGGTGTGAGGTTTGAAAACTTGGTAATGCATCTAATTATATCAGCTAATGAAAAATATTACTTATACTTCGCAGATGATTTCACTAATTGCTTGTGAAGAGTATGCTAACATATGTTGGCATTAAAATTTTCTAAATTAAGTTTACTGCCAAGAATGCAGATGGATGGCACATCCTGATGTAAGCCTAAACATCTGTGATGAGGTTATGTTATTCTACCACCTCATTTTGGATAAAAACATTTCAGGAGTAGGCTATGCTTCCATCAACATGTAAACTCATGAAACCAATTCTGTTGGATCTTATTAAATGGAGGTCATCTCCATATTTGGTCCAGGGTCTCCAGCCCTTTTTGGCTTATGTGAGCAGGCCCACAGTGCTTTCACTAATTAAGCTCATCACAACATTATCACTACCAGCATTCTTGGAAACAGAATGCTTTATGACTGGAGGGGAAGTACAGGAAGCATACCCGTACTGGAAGAGGAAGCTTAAGAGCTGAGGGAGATGTGGAGGCAGGTGGTCTACAGAACTTCTTTCCCTGACCATAGCACAGGGAAAACAACTTGGCCGAGACTCAACATTGCTCTGTGAAACGTACATAAATGCAGTGATAGCAATATATCTAATTATGAAATTTCAGTGTTTTAAAGATGAGTAGATTATATCAGTTGTCACAAATGTTTTCCTTTAAATTTTATACTAAAATTTATTGTAGTTAACACTGTGAAGAACAGATTCCTTGTAAATAATATTTAAAAATTTATTTCCTACTTCACAAGAAACAAACAGTTTCTGCATCATGAAGACCAGAGAGTTAATCCTTTTTTGGAGAAATGATTACTGTTTGTTCTCAGAATCATATAAAACACATAAGTACAACCTGTTGATTGTTCTTCAATGTTAAAGAAGGTGGCTCATATAGTAACCACTGGACTTTAGAGGATTAATCATTAAGCTGAAGTTTGAATTCTATTTTCCATATGGTGCCTATTTACAAATTCAGTGTACATTCTTTTTCATATGTGATTGACCTTGACTAGGACAACTTGAAAATGAAATTTATTGTTGCTGAGTAGGTCATTGTCAGTTGCTGAATACTGAACAGTAATCAAATCTGCCCAAGAGGTAAAGATAGTTTTGAGTAAATCAGCATTTCATGTTTCAGCTCATATTGTGTGATATCTTGAAGAACATGGCATTATTTTCCTGAATATACCAACTGTGCAGTTTCATTTAGGGAGATGGTCTTCATAAATTACCACATTTTGGTTTTGTTAAGACATGTTAAGTATGTTAAGTATGTAAACATGTTTGTTAAGTATGACCAACAGCTGGTGGCAAATGACTGTGCAAGATTTGCCTGAAAGATGGAAGGAGGAAAACAGAAAGGGGTTCTGCTGTCCATAAATGTTAACAGTGGTACAGCAGTGTGTTTGCCTCTGTTCATTTTCTCTTTTCTAAAAAATCATTATGGAAGTTCTTGTGATGCATTTTCTTTTTAACTAGTACATGGTGGTATGCATACCTACCAATGCTGCTACCAAGCATGAGAATATTGGGAAATGTATTTCTCTTTATGAAAAGAGCTCTGAATATATCACTTTGTTATATGTTCTGAAAAAGAATGGAGAAATTTGTGATGTACTGATCTAACGGTCTATGAAACAAAAACAGTTTAAGCAACAAACTATAAACAAAATCATCATGAGGATAAATGCTTTTGGTCTGTACTGCTGTGACTGACTGGAAGCAATCTGCATATCCTGTGGGCTGGGTCACAGCTTACCTGACACCCCACAAGGCATATTTAGAGGGATTCATTTTCAAATGCTGCAATATGTGAGTATGTGTGTACATGAACCACAAATTCTTGGTCACTTGCTACCTGTATCTATAGGCCAGTCACAATGAAGAAATGGCATGACAGTGAGAGACAAAACTAGTTTACATGTTTGCTTCTCACCAACTTACTTACATAATTGATATTTTAATTGTACATGTTACTGGTTTAGAAAAATTGAGATGTACATTTTCTACAAACTATTTTTTTTTTAATTTTGAGATGCAAGCTTAAAATGATAATGATCACAAAGATTTGAAGATAATATCAAAATGGATCTTAGAGAAATAGAATGAGGGGATTGGGATTAGATTCATCTGTCTCAGGGCAGGGACTTCTGGTGGTCTCTTGTGAACATGGTAATGAGTCGTAGGGTGCTATGGGAATTGTTTGACTGAGTGACTGTTAGCTCCTGAAAAAGGACTCTCCTCCATGGAATTAGTTAAGCTTGAAATATTTACCATCTTTGTTGTGGCAACACCCCTGCCATCTGAAGTTGCAAGCAGACTCAAGTGAGGTACAAATTGTTGTTTGATGTTATGGGGTTTCTGGACTTTGTCTGTTGTCTAGTAATCTGAACAGAACACAACTTTTCTGAAATTGGACTTGTTGCCATCCTCAGATGAGAAGGTGAGGAGGCTGATACCATAACTCTAACCACCGCTTGTTGATTTGGTACTCTGTTGAGTTAGAAATGCCATTAAATTAATGTTGTGGGTAGTGACAACAATTCTGAGATGAGGCTAGAAATATGTTCCTTAGTTTTGAGACTTCACAGGAATTTGTGTTCATGTTACAGTGGTGACATCATATCTTGTATAGCATCTAGTCTCTCTTTTGTATGTACATGTCATGACAGAATATAGAGATATTAAGCTCAGTGTCTTTCATTCTCTGTCCCTCAAGGACATCTTAATTTGAGATACCATGAAGTTTGGTAGCTATGTACCCATGGATATGGGCAGAGAGAGTTAAGCCCAGTATCTCTCCCATCCCTGACTTTTAGAAGAAGTCAAATTTGAAAGAAGGATATGTATAAGATATTAATACAAAGTCTTAAATTGTTTAAAAATTATTCTTGTACCCAGAATAGTCTAAACACAAGTCTGTAAGCAAATGCTGTGGTTGTCCTTCATGGGAACCCCACCCTCCAAGGAAAAAATCCTGGTGGCACTTATGTATGCACCAATGTTTTTGAGGAACCTCATGACTCCATCTTTAGGACAGAAGATGGCAGTAGTGCACTGGTTGGTATCCTTGTAACAGACTTCACAATATCACACCTTAGAAGGCCATATTCTTAACCTCAGTTTACTAAGTTGCTCTGGAACTATCTACCGTCACAGATAATAAGATATTTTTGTATATTTCATTGTTTGAAAATTAGATTTTGATGGCTGTAAATAAATCTTCAACTCCATTAAATTTATTGGTCAAAAAGCATCATGAAATAAAAGCTTTTTTTTTTTTTTTGGTATAAGTCCACTTTGTAGCTCAGTCAGTATAGTGAGTAGACTATGAATTGGATGACCAAGGAATCAGGGTTAAGTTCCCAGCAAGGGCAAGAGATGTCTCTCTTCCATTCAGCCTCCTGTCCGAAGGGTATGGGTGGTAAAGCTGCGGCTGGGATAATAAGCTGAGGCTAGATATATGTGGCACTATACCTCCACTTTTCATATATCATTCATGTTGCAGTGCCAAATTATTCATAGGGAAACTTTACATTTACCTTTGTCTTTTGTATGTCAAGTGAGAACACTAATATATCTGTTACTGTAGATTTAATTTCTGTTGGAAATCAATGAATTCAGTAAAACCTGCCCAGGCATGTTCTGGATCTCCATAAAATACCAAGCATTTATTGCAGCAAGACGAGAAGGGAGAATGAAATTCGAAAACGAAGCATGAAACAATCAAACCGAAAAGACAAAATTAAGGCTCTCTCATGTGAAAATATTGTGTAAACAGCCATATTATGATTGGAATGGTGATTCTCATTTCATTCTGTCATATCTAAGATTCAGGGGCCAACTGAATTCAGTTGTTCTCCTGATTACCCAAAGCAACAAATCAGTTCAAATAACTTAATGGCTGTGCACTTCAAAAACATAAGGAAATGGTGGGGAGGCAACCAATAAGATGTCTATCAAAGGACTGTACTGGATGGTATGGACTGGATAGAGCTGGCCCAGGATAGGGATCAGTGAAGGGCTCTTGTGAACACGTTAATGAACCTTCGGGTTCCATAAAATGCTGGGAAATTCTTGAGTAGCTGCAGAATTGGCGGCTCCTCTAGAAGGGCTCAGCTCCATGAGTAAGTTAGTAAGTAAATCAAAACATTATACTGGAGCACGCGGTGGCCTAAAAGAGATGAATTAAGCTACCGACGCCGAAATTTGACGAAAAACTGTTTCACTGGTCCTGTAGATGGCGATAATATCTGCCTCTCCGCCCTCAGACGTGCATCGTCGTGCATGTCGTGCAGGATGTAGCCTTTCGCTTTACCGGGTGAGCCATCAATCCAGTTTAAATGTAGAAATATTGCATTATCTTTGATCAAAGTTCAAAATTAATTTTGTTCTTGTTCTTGTAGTTTAATGGCACTCAGCATACGAGAAGTGTGTGATGTTGAGTATAAAGTATTTTATAAGCTGAATAATTTTGGTGTTTCTACAAAATTATTAGGACCTGCATAATAAATCCCCGAGAGATCGATCATCACCATCATCACTTATTGAGCTCATTGATATCCAAAATGGCAGTTAGTTCACTGTTTAACGGTGATGACATTCAAGTTTTCATCAATGATAGTAGTGAAACAAGTGAGGTAAAGTGTGCTTTTTGTTATAAATTTAAAATAGAAATCAGATCAGCACAAAAAATTGTTGAACTGCTACAAGAAGAGATAAACACGCCCAATCGTACTGTAGGTACAGACTCATATTACTTTCACCGTTCGAACTAAGGAAAAAAAAAGAAAGAAAAGGGCTGGGGGCGGGGTCTTTGTTCTTGTTTTCATTAATCTCAGCTGGAACATCTGGCTAACCTGTCTTAGGGTTTTTCATGGTTTTTCACAGTACCACGAGGCAAATGTTGATTGGACTTTAGTATCCCTAATCAGGTGACAAGCACCAAGCCTTTTGAATACACTATTTACTAATCATCAGCCATTTGATACCATACGTATAGTTCGCGCTACGAAATGTGTTGTGAAATCATGAAAGGAAATGTGGTGCAGGTGCAGTTTTGAATGTTATTAATAATCGGACACAACTTTCAGCGCCAGAAGAGGTACTGTCCAACATCAAGATTAAGCCCAATGACAGCTCACTGGAGCTACAGATAGCCCTCAAGAAAGCACGGAGACTGAAGCTGCAGGAGGCTGTTACAGAATCAAAGAACAGTGTAGAAAAGGTACATCACACCAGCAGATTTCCTTTGTAATCAATCTCACAAATGTTTGGCTGTACTAGGGGTCATTTCTTTTGCTCAGTCAAGGCCATCTTCCCCTTACCTGCCCCTCTGCTTTTTCTCCCTGAGACAAAAGAGGAGCAGCCCTATGGATCAGTGGTGGGAGGTGATGAAATTGTCCCTTGCTACAGAATCCTGTACCATGTTTAGTTCCTACACAGTGTCTCCATATATACATACATACATATCCTTTATTTTCCATAAATATCCATACAGGTAACAGACCCAGGATGTGGAAATAGTTATATCAAATACATACACAAAGTCACATTACTGTGTTCACAAGAGCCCTCCACTGGTCCCTATCCTGAGCTGCCCATTCACCTCCATCTAGAGCATAACTAATTAAGCATAGGGACAGCATTGCATTTATGGACACTACAAAACAGAATGCTGTATAGCTACATAATTTGCCTGTTTGTGATTTGTGATGTTTGTAGGTGGCAGAGTCAGTACTGGAGAGAAGCTCAGAAGGAAACACGGAAGGTGGTTCCATTGTGCTGAATGCTACTGCAGAATTCTACCATACGTTGGGTGACATCCCCCTTTATGGTCTGGCTGGCAACGGATGAGGACGCTCAGGAACTAGTGAGTGCAATATAACCATCCGCAGATACACGTACACTTGGCAAGGCAATTTGATTTAGCATGTGTCAAGACTAGAACACTCCATTGCCCATGTACAGTTATTTACTGCAGCTGCAACAGAATGAGAATATATTTCAGTTACAGTTGAATTCCATGGTAATGGATATATAAATTACTGAACTGGAAACATCCAACAGAAATCCTAGAAATGAAAGCACTCGTTGTACAATATGAATGTGACAGTGGAGATGGGAGAACCTTTTTCTTCTTCTTCTTCTCCTTCTTGACAAGTGGTACCTTCTGGAATAAAATGCTGTATAATGTGATAAGGTCCATAAGCATTTTGAAGGAATGTCGGTAGACTTACGGTCTCTTAACAGAAATGAGTACCAGGAATTTTCATGGGGGTAAAGTGTGGCCGGTGCGTAAGCCTGTAACTCTATAGTGTCTTGGTATGTAATGAATGTCACTCATGAAGAATGCCGTCTTCTGGGATGTGGCACCATATAGATATTGTGTAAACCAATGTTTCGGAGGAATGTATCACCTCTGTCTTCAGGGTATAAAAATCCACAAGCGAGGAACTAGGGTGAGCAGGTGGCTGCAGACTAAGTCACCTAGTTGTCCTGTAGCTGTCAAGTCTTCTCCGCAGCAGGTCTTAGGGAAGAGAGTTGTCATGGGCACAAGGATTGGCCACTTGCCTTGATTATGGAGTAGAGTAAGGAAATTTTGAAGGGTAAAGAATATCTGAGCTTTGAATGCTTTGTCATCTCTATAACTGGATTGCAAGTCTCGGCTTATCTCGGGATTGACCCACTTGAGTATTAGGGAGGTGTACATGATGGTCAAGACAGGATGAAGTAAGCAATCAAGATTGATTAAGGAATTTAATATACAGCATTGCTTTATCTTTTTCAGAGATGATGAAAAGTTTGGGCTTCACGAGCGGTACAGTGGTCCGACCTCAGACTTCAAAGAAAAGGAGGGCTACAAACCAAATGTTAAACTCAACTACACAGATGATGATGGACATGTACTTAATGCAAAGGAGGCTTTCAGGTTAGCACAGGTAATAGCATATCTGTTTTTAAGATAGGTCGCACTGTGGAGGGTAGCCTGTCCAATGGGAGTACATTCTTTAGAGGAGAAAATTTTCCACAGTAATTGCCATTTTAAGAAAAAAATTCCAAGGAGGAAGCAATTTTTCATTGAAAATAGACAAGATCACGGGACTACCGTGTGTATCATCCATGTGTGCCATCCTCACGATAATGTGTGAATCAAATGATGAGTTTACGTGAAACTCTGTATTGTTATCATGCCACTGACATGTTCTTTTAGTTGTCTACCATCAGCCATATTAACATGGTGACTGAGTTGGGAGCAACACTAGAGCCATTTAAATTAGGTCCTTAAGAAAAGGTCCTGGGGTAAGCTGTTATACCCATTCAGAAGGTTCTGAGTTTGATCCCCACTTGCATCTGTGTACAGATATTTCTGCTCACAGATGATGCCTTCACATCTACCAGAGTTCAAGGTTCAGGAATACAAAGGATACCCCCCCCCCCAATGGTTTAGAGCCCATGTTAAATTGTAGGGCCCCTCTGCTGACCAGCACTATCATGATTACCCTATCATGGGTGGTGAGGTTATTGTCTTCCACCTCAGATGCTTTCAGTAGAACATTTTGATATATACATGTTGTTTTGACTTCCTTTTCTCCCATTCTGTATGTGACAGTTTGTAACTAGCCAACATATTGTGACATTTGAGTGTGTAAATACTTCGTACTTGATATAGTTTGTTGTGCAGGCATAGAATGTGGCAGAATGGTTCATTTTGCAGATAGTTTGCATGAATTGGGAAGAAATATGCCTCAAAATTGTTACTATCCCAGTGTACTTTTATTAAAATATTTTGTGTTAATCATTTCAATCCCTACAACTTTAATGGACTGTAGCATGCCCATTTCTGGTTATTGGCTGTATGAGTAAGTTGCATTGCATTAGTTCAGAAAATAACAGATTGAACTATATATGGATCATACCCTTTTTTGTGTGTGAAACTTCAGGATGAAAGGATTTTACGTGTTACTTGGAAACATGGCCACATTCTGTAAGATCCTAAAATACAGTGACTTTAATGTTGTCTCTATTTCTCATTTCAGATACCTGTCTCATGAATTTCATGGAAAGGGACCTGGCAAAAATAAAGTGGAGAAACGAATGAAGAGAACTGAACAGGAGGGTGTGAGTATCAGTCCAGATCTGGTCATGGGCTCTTATTTCTAATACAAGCTGGAAGGTCATGGGTTGAAGTCCCGATGAAGTCATTGGATTTTTTTCAATTGACCTAATCCTTCCAGCCACACTGTGGCCTTGAAGTTGACTCAGCCTCTAATGGAAATGAGTACCAGGAATACTCTTGGGGGTAAAGGGTGGCCGGCGCATAGGGCTGATAACCTTACCGCCATCTGTGAGTCGATTGTCTAGAAAATGTGGGAACCTCAGCATCTCACAACACTATGGGCCTCCATGGCCTGTTACAGGGATACCTTTACTTTACTTTAGTGTATTGTAGCACCCTGCTGCACTTCATTTAGTACCAAATTGTTTCACAGTCTCACGTGCAGCATGTCCTTCTGTAAAACTTCCTAAAAGTTATTCACTACATGTTTTGACCTATAAGGTCATTATCAGTTGTTTTAAAATTATAAATGAGGAAACTGCTGTGCTTCCATATTGTGGTTGTTGGTCATCACCAGGGCCTGGATCTTGATGACCTGAAAATATTTAAAAAATGACCGAAAAAATCCAGAAAAATGACCTAAAATATGACCCAAAAATGTAATATGCAGGGCCCAGATTTTGATGACCTGAAAATATTTAAAAAAGACGTATAAAATGACTGAAAAAA